AAAGCGGCCATGTTCACTGTTGCTGGTTCGCTCCGTGGGCCCTCGTGCCCCGAGCGAAAACATCTGAACAGTTGCTCTTGTGATCAGTGATCATATGATACATTTACTCCGAGCGGGTTCATTGGAGTAGAACTGGTAAATCATTAAACACACGCTCAGCGGTCGTCCTGCTGAGCGAGAAGACTGCTGAAGTACCCACAAGTGCAGGCACCATTACATCCAATGTGCTTCCCCCTGCCATTACCTAAGAAAACAGAATTAATACATTAGAGGCACACAACAGCATTAGACCTAATCCCTTAAGCCACAATTATTAGGGTAAGATTTTTTTAAAGGGAATCTTGAACTACTTTTCCATTTTTTACCTCATAGTCTTTTTTGTGCCCTGTATGTTATATCACTAAGGGTAAGTCAATCTCTAGTGGTGAATTAGAGCATTTCTTATTTCATCATTGCTATTAAATGCTGTAAGATGCTGCAAGCTGGCGCTCCTTCTTCTTTATTTATTTCATTGTTTATTTCTAAAAGTGTTGCATTGTTCGTAACCCCGAACTTCACAAGAATGAGACATGAAACACCCCCCCCCAAAAAAAAAAGAAAAGATTCCATCTAGTGAAGAGATAAACGTGTCATGCCAGCATTAAATGTTGACTCAATAAGTTCACAAGTTGTGTCTCCTCTGATCTCTAACATGATCAGAAAGCAGCACCAGTTTACAGAGACAAGACGTGCAAAAAAAAAGGAAAAAAAAGTTCCATGCACAGACACAAAAGAAATATTTTGATATAGACCCAAAGAGAAAACATATCAAAAGACATTTTTATACATGTCTTTTGCAAGCACAAAAAGCAGAAGTGGTGTCAAGAGAAAACAAAACAGAAGGCTTGTTTCTTCCAACAATTGCTTTAAGCTACAAAAATCTCCTTGAGTCCCTAGCCTCCCCTCAATGTCAGCCTCCCCCCTCCTCCTCCTCCTCCTCCTCCTCTCTTCACCCTGCCTCCCTCTCTCTCTTCCTCTCTTCGTCTTCTCTCTCTTTTTCCCCTTTTCCCTCTCGAAGGCAGGACAGGGCCCTCTTTGCACCCTGATAGGTTGCGGGCTGATGCTTAGCAACAACATTCCTGTGCCCTAAGTAGCAGTAAGCCTCTGGCTGAACTCTTTGATGTGGCTGTCAGGCCACATTTATTTCCTTTTAGCACTTTGTCTACTTGTCCAGATGTATAAGGAGATAAAAAGGCCTGGTGTTTACACTGGTCTCCCTCTGTAGCGCGGCTGTAATTAGATTGTATTGCCGGTCAGTCCTGAGGAGGGAGGTGAGATGAGGCAATGCAGGAACCACCTGTGTCGGGATGACACCGGCCTGAGGTGAAACCTCAGAGCCAGGCTGCAAGAAAGGGAAAGTGTTTGCATAACACGTTGCAAAGTTGAATTTTTTGTCTTCACTTTTGTACATAACACCGTGGCAGCCAACTTCATAATCAAATTCTAGCAAAATCTCCCTCGACCGGTCGATGTCAGTGTAATGTTCTGTAATATAACACTTATCAAGATTAGAAATTGACAGCCAATCTTGCAAAACTTCTCAACTTTGTTGCTTAAAAAAACACACCAAGATATGAGCCAACCTTTCCTGACTCACTTTTTTTAGTATCTCATATTTTCAGGAACCCCACTGTGGACCTGTTTTTGTGGTTCCATGGGGCTCTCTTTGTGTTTCCGTGTCCTTCCGTCCCTCCCTTGCTTCTCTCACAGTGATATGTTGGAAGTTATAATCACTGTTGCCTCTGGGTTTATCAGCGTTTATTCGCATAACAACACCGAAAAAGGAGCAGACAGACAGCACTGGTGTGATGTATTATCCAGAACAGGAATCATCTTTCATAATGACATCCAGCAGAGCTTCCTCTCACTCCCGCCACCCATTTCTCCCCATCACACACACACATACATACATACACACACACTTTCTTCATCTCTCTCTCTCCCTGTTTCCACTCCCCTCTGTCCACCCTTTATTATCACAGAATCCATGGTGCTCCCCAGCCTGTAAATTTGTGCCGCATTATCATAAGCTGTGGTGATAACTCACATTGCACAGAGACAATAATGATGTGAACACTCAGCATATGCCCCGGGCCCAGCAAATTAAAACAATGCTCAGCTTGATGAGCAGACTAATCTGGACAGCGGAGAAAGAAAGAAGGAGGGGGGGGGGAGAAGGGGTGTACAGGAGTTTCTTAAATAGACGACACAGCAGCACCTCCCTCTGTTCAGTGTAGGAACAACCGGAAAAAACAACAGAGGGGGGACAGGGGAGAAAGACGAGATACCAAAAAAAAAGAGGGGAATAGAGATAGGAGCAGCCAAGGTTAAGAGCTTGTTTAAGAAAAATGAACTTTGAGGATATTCATGGGACAATATTCGATTTTTTTAGTTTGGTACTTTTGTGTTTTGTGACTTTTTGGAATGGAAATTTGTATGCGCAAGTACTGTTTTCAACACTCATAGACCATATATATCCTGCAATAAATTCAGGAAGAGAAGTGTTGTCACTTCATTATTGTGGGTAATTATACAATGTTGTATTTTAATTCATTTTGCCCTTACAGTACATGCATTATATAGGTTTAAAAAATGACCTGGATGACATTCAGTTTTTAACATTGGTCTGTCATGCCGGTATATGTGGTTGTAATACTATAATAGTAGTGTTCTAGCCGTCCTGAAAGCTGGTCACAAAGCATTCAAATATTTCTTCTCGAAGCTAGAGAAAAATCTCCCAATATGTTCCACATGCTTTCTTGTCATAAGCTCTGCTGCTTCTTTTCTTCTGGACAGGTCATTGGCTGAAGTGAAAGAGAGCAGATGTGAAGCGTTACAGAGGAAGGTCTGAGAGGAGGAGAAAAAGGGAGGATCAGGACATGGGAAAGCTGGCTGATTGATGCTCTGTGGGAGGGGTGAAATGGTTTTGCTGGATGGGACGGGAAGTGACAACCACAGATGTTGAATGGGGCTGGCTGTTTGATCAGCAGGCATGATACTGGCAGTGGTGAAGCGGTGGTGTCATGCATAGCACGGGGGGGGGGACTGGGGGGGTGGGACTGGGTGGGTGGTGATACTTAAAGCAAATCAACTAACCTCCCATAGGAGTAAAAACCAGAGCGTAGGCGGCCAAAGGCTCTATGCAGTGTCCTCCTACTCCTTCTCCTCCTCCAACACCCCCCAAACACAGTCTGTGGGTGGTGCTGTTAATGACATGGCAACAAGGAAGATTAATTGTGGGCAAGCTGCAGGATTAGACGAGGCTTTTTGGGGGGCCAAGCAGGCCAGAAGAGGCCCGGGCTTGTGATCTTTCAAGCAGACCAGGAAATGAGGCAAGCAGGGGTGCCGCTTGGTGGCTAAGAAGAACAAGGAGGTAGATCAAATAGAGAAGGCTAACAACCCTTGTCTTTATGCCTGAATTGCTCTGTTAGCTCATAATAATGACAACATAAAGAGTCTTTATAGATAGGATGGGTGGTGATAAATGGCTGATTCAACAGTTCATAGCGCTGGTGCTTCAGTAAGAAAAAGAAGTGGGTAAGAATACCTGATTGTTCTTTTGCTCTCAAATTGAAACTGTCAGTTTTTACTGAGTACAACGTGTACATTTTCAGTCCATACTAGTCCAGCGTACAAGCATACAGTGATTTTCTTAACAGATTTCAGCCACTCCAGAGGCCGGGAGCAGCAGGTGTGCTGTCAAAACAATATTTTTATTCCAAAAGCATCGGTCCACCAGCATATATGTGCTAAGGTCTCAAGATAGACTTATTCTGCCTTTTCTTTTTCTTTCTTTGCTGTAATATGAGACACATGCTGGCCAGCTCTTAATGCCTTTCAGAGATGCTATCTAAAAAGCACATTATGTGATCGTTTTCGATTCACAGTGCTCTCTTCTTTGCACATGAAGAATATGGTTCCATTTAAGAGTGCAGACCGTTCCATTTCTCAAGGTTATGCATGGGCATGTAGAGGAACAACAATAAGAGTGGGGAAAAATGCAGCTCCAAACTGTCTCTAATATGTATTTGTCAGTTGAGTCTCTTGCTATGATTAAAGGCCTGGCGAATTCCTTCCTGCAGGAGAGGAAAGTATTTCTGCAAAGGCATCAGATATCGCTGTGTCATGATAAACTGCCTGCTCTGCTCGCTAAAAGGCTAAAGGAAGGAAGAGGATGTTTTGGACCTTGAAAGTCTACAAAATAGAACAACAACACAAGAAACTCTTGACCTGTTTGGGAACATGCTTTGAGATCCAGGCCTGTGTTTTCTCTTTGTCTCAAAGCAGCATTTGTCACACTTGTTTAGCCTGAACCTCTAAAAGGCTTACAATCAACACAGAAAGAACAATACAAGTTATCCACAATTATACAATGAAATATAGTAAGGCAGGAAGATTATGCCCTCTTTTAGAAAAACTGTTAGTTAAAAAATTGCCTCAGTCAGAATCCGGTTTGGAGTACTGCAGGTATAAACTATTTTGATCCCCTGGAAATAAAAAGCTGCTTGTCCAAGTGAAAGTTTATGAAAAAAAGGATGCACATTATAGTCCTCTTTAGACTTCCACTGAGAAGCCAGTTAAGCAGATGCAAACCAACGCAGTGAGGTCATTTGTTGCCATTTGTGACTACCCTCATATAACCATGCTGCATTTGGCTGCTCAGAATGAGTGACGTCTACCCTTTGGTTGACCACTGCAGGAGGTCACGGCTGAGTGAAGGTTAAGACCTCTCCTCCCTGACCACGTCGTATATCAGATCATCAAAGGCTGGACTGCAGCTCCATAACACGTGAGACGTCATAAAACATGTTCTGATACATCTTCTCATAAAGCAGGAGCAGTGTTTCCTCTACCAATCCAAGATTCATAACAGTCAGCTGCAGTCATACTTGTAATTTCAAACCTGTTAAACCTTTTCTGCTTCAGATACTCATTCTATGTGTTTGTCTGCTTTCTCACAGCCGCCTATTGAGGCTGGATCAGAGGGTCAGGAGATGCCCTACACTCCTCTACCCCGAGGATCCAGAGATGCAAGAAACCACAAAGGTAAGGACGAGAAAAAGAGACCTTTGGACTTCTTCACCTTTTAGTCAGGTGGATTATACACACATCTCCACAAATATACTTCCGATCGAGACAGTAAGCATCGCAATTTATTATCATACATACATTCAATCTCAAACACTGCCCGAGGATTATGTAAATATAAGTCATAACCCTAAATGGCTACAGGGAGTGGGAATCTATTGACCTTGAGACGGGTTTGAAGTTATGTTCTCTATTCTTATTGATCTCATCTCATCTGTGTGATGTGTTCATGGTGCTAATAAATCGGAGTAATCTGGGTTAACTCTGTTCTGAATGTGTGCGTGGGAGGACACAGTACATAAACAAGATGAAGCATCCTTGATCTGTGGATACAAGACATTGATTAGGCCTCTTATTGACCCAGTGCTGTCAGTTGATGTAATTGTGCAATAACTTCTTGACATCAAATACTGTACTGTAGTTGTAACTGAAAATGTGTATTCATTAACAGATATAATGTTTGAAAGTGGTTGTACAGGCCACTGTAAAAACCTCAGACAATCCATTTTATTAGTCTATTGTATCATTAGACTTAAGTCAATGTTGATATTTTTACTTAAAGGTCACATATTACCTCCTTTTCAACATGTTTCAATAAGACTCACAGCTCCTCAAAACATGTCTGTGAAGTCTCTTGCTAAAAATCCACTCTGATCCTGTATTTGATCATGCCTATAAACCCCTCTATTTCAATCCTCCTCAGAACAGGCTGTTTCTGTGTCTGTAGCTTTAAATGTAAGTGAGCTGGGTTTAACCACGTCCCTCTCTGAAGGGGATGCGGCTCGGGCTTTCTCGCACCAGGCTCTATGGTTTACAGTGAGAAGGCAAAACAACCACCTAGCTGTGGGAGTGTCACCCACCTGGGGGAGGGGTTTCTTCCCTTTGTGATGTCATTAAGGGAAAATCTCCAAATTACCTGTTTGAGCACGCATTTTCTGAAAAGCAGAGCCGGCAGAAGACGCAGAGGATGGACTTTTCTCATATTCTTTTTTTTTTTTTTAGATAGGATAGGAACACATATTAGTGTTTGAAAAACATGGTAAAGTGTATTTTTCATTTAGCATCATTAGACTTTTTAATTAGAAATGTCTTTTTAAAATCCATGTAAAGCATTTGATCAGTTTTATCCTTGGATTAAAAGTTTGAATTGCCAAAATGAGCTTGTAAACTTCAAAAGGTACATTTTGAACCCACGTATGTCAAACCTTGTTCAATCTCTGTATACTTAAAGGAGAGAAGTTAAACGCATTCCACGGTGCAGGGAAAGAAAAACAACAGCACTGACAAGAAAACAGCAAACAAACACACTCACTCCATGCAGCAAAAACATAGCTAGGTTTTGCTGAAGTGAAGTTCTGGCGAGGACTTCGCTGTTTTTAGTGATTGAAATAGTGTTGCAGGTGCTGTATAAGTGTTCCCAGTGCCCATAACTGGCAGTTTAGAGGAGATGGTAGCTTAACAAGCCTGTTCTGCAGCTCTACAGTGTGTTCAATGGTGGCCGCCACCTGCCCTCCAGGCCTCTGCAACACTCACATTACTGAAGCTATGAATAGGTTGACAAGCTCGCTCGCTGATGGCAAATGTATTTAACTATCTGCAACTCCCAGGGTAATAAACATTCACAATGATTTAATTGACATGCTCTGAAATGATACAGAAGAAAAAAATTATATTATACAACTACTGCGATCATTCGGCATCACTAAAAGTCTCCAGACATTGCATGCACATTTACTACATATAGGAACAAAATAACCATTTACATTGAAATGAAAAGCTAGACTACTCCTTGGCTAATAAAAGCTTAAAAAACAGGAATCAGGTCTCTAATTTTCAATCAAATCCAATGTATAAATGCAGCACTTTTTAAAGAGAGCTGCCAAGACCAAAAACATTAAAGAAGTAGCGTCCCTGTTTTGGATTGTCTCAGTTCTGTGTTTTAAAGTTGTGAATCTGGTGTATTTTGAGGTTAAGCGTGTGCTAATGTGCTAATGTGCTAATGTGGAGAGGGTTTCTGACCAGAATCTACTGTTCATATGTAGTCACACTTTTTACATGGTGCAGGGTGGTTTCTGATAAACCCCCCCACACTTCTTGGACTGAGACATTCAACACTGTCTCATTCAAAGCACTCAGTAGGTTGACCACCTCTATGGTAGCACAACCCCCCCCCACCCCCCCCCACCCTCCGCATTTATGGTGCCAAGGACAGATCTATGTCATAAAGGCCTGGACGGTGGCAGCTCTCCCCGGTTGTAAGGACAGGAGGAGCCCCGCGCTTTGTCACAATCAGACCTGTGTAAGAACAGTACATTTAAAGGTGAGGGGATCTGACACATGAAATATTTCCCCCTCCGTCTTAGATCTGAGCAGCACTGACAGCCTCCATTTGTTATTTTTATGATGCAGCGCTGCAGTCTTAGATAACACAGCCCTCATCTTCGCCCTTCACCTCCTCTTCATGTCCCTGCCTCCAGCCTCTTTCCCGGCTCTTTGTTATTTGTTTTCTTTTATTTACACATCTTAGACATACTCCAGTTTTCTTTATGTGTTGGAGATGGTCACAGTTATTCCTCTTTCATAGAGAACAAAGCCGTGGAAAAGCAGGGCTACAACAAACAAAATCTTTCAGACAGTAATTCCCAAAAACAATATGCTTACTGAATATAATTCAGGAAATAGACTATCGGGTTGAAAGAATATCCTGTAGGATTTGAATGCAGCCCTTCCATTCAGCATGCATGGTCAATTTTAGAGATCACTACACGGTTTTTACAAAAGCAGTGAGGTTTTCGGTGTTATATTCTGTTGTGTTTTTCTTTGTTCGTGCATGCTAGGTAGCCTACGTCTTTTGTTTGTGCTGTAATGCAGATAAAAAACACAAGTGCAGGAGAGAAAAAGGCACTTTTCTTTGTATGAAATAAATTAAATATGTGGAATAAAACCAAAAAGGCAAGAAGCATTACACTGAAAGTATATATTTTTTGCTTTTAAGTTCAATGCAGCATGAAGTAATACCAGTAGTTCTTTTAAAAGCTAAATAAATCGGCCTTTTTAAAATGGAAAAATGGAGGCTATAGTTTTATCCCAACTCCAGATCAGCAGCACTTCTGACATCGCCCTGTCGCTGCGCAGAAAGAACCCCCCCTTTCCTCCTTTCAACCCCTCCGCACCTACTCCCCCATACCCCCCCCCCCCACCCTCCAATGTGTCACCTGTATGGAAGCCCCAGAGCCTGGGTGCCAGAGGTAATTACAGCAGCTTGGAGCTCCCAGAGGAGGGCAGCGCTGGCAGGTCACTGCCCTGGGAGAGAGAGGTGGAAACCAAGGACACACAACTCCAGGATAAGCTCTTGTCTTTGGGTTGTGGAGGAGTCTAGCTGGTGGAGACGGAGCAAAACGGAGCAGGAATGAGAAAGACGTGCTGCAGTAGAAAGGTCTTAATCAAGATTTGTTCGCTCAGATAGATGGTTGGTACAAGAGCGGAAAATGGAAAGGGGGCCGGTATTAAAAAGTGGGGAAAAAAGGAGGACTTAAAAATGAGAGTGAGCTAGACAAAAGACAACTTGAAGGAGGATGGTGGGTGCTTCAGTGTGTCTTGGTGAAGGCGTGACACAGAGTGGAGTGGAGTATATAGTCTGGCAGAGGTGCCTGGGGATCCTCCACTACTGTCACCTTGGCTCTAAGTCTCAGTGCTGGTCCAACTGTCAGCTCAACTTTAAATCTAAACAGTCCAAAATGGAGTCGCAGCCTAAAGTACAGTTTGTCTTCATGAACACTGGCTTTTACCACCATGTTAAACCACAGCAATGTGCTGCATACTGATTTATCATTTCAACATGCAAAACGATGGCAGGGTAATTTATTACCAGCTTGTCATTTGCGTAGGTTGACACAGTTTGAAGATGCACAAGATGATTTTATAGATCTAATTATAACTGTAGTTCAGAAGTATGTAAAAAAAAAAAAAGAAGAGGCTTCATACTTGATTGATATACTCATGTGCACAGAAGAAATTTTAATGAAATATACCTTTCATTTCCGCTGTACATTTCAATAAAAAGGCCAGACTCGCTGTTTTTTTCAGGTATCAGATTAAATATGAGCAGGCCATCCCTCAGCCGTGACAGCAGTAAATGAAAGGGATATCTTTGTTCAAGCAGAGTAAACAGACGGGGGGGAAATGCCTGAAATCTGCCTTACAGTGTGAGCCCTGGGCTCTTTTAATCTTGATGTTCTGGGCCTGCTTCCAGCTACTTTGTATGTATGTATCTTAAATGGTGCACAACTGTTATTCTAATCCCAAGAGGGAAGCAGCCTTCAAAGCAAAAAAAAAAAAAAAAAAATCCTCCTTCCTGATGAAGCCCATGGGGTGTCTCACATTTGTTTGGCGGCTTGCTTTCGTTACATGTCGGGGTGATCTGCACCGCAAGTCCTGCTTTGCTTCCCCCCTCCACTCCGTTAAAAAAGAGAAGAAATGGGACCGGATCCAAACTAAGGGTAAACTGTTTTATAGTTGCTGAACAACAAATAAACAAACATCTGGAAGCATTCAGATCGGCCCATTAGAAGGGCTCTGGGCTTTGCCAAAAAGGGGTAAATGATGAGGAATGGGCTGTCGAAAGGCTGGCGGAGACAGGGGAGAGGCCAGATGACGGAGCTGTGGGTGCTAAGCACTGCCTTTTAGAGCTCAGCTGGGCTCGGAGAGATCTACACCTGCTGCTATCTCACTCCTCCCCTCCTTCCCTCCACCCGACATCTGGATGGGATACATGACTAATGGGTGACAAAACTGCTTGCGTTGAAACTTAGCTGTTGTCGATATGAAGGGAAAGGTTGTTGCTCTGACTGATGACTTAATGGTCTTTGCACAGTACACTTTGTCAAAATGTAGGGTGAGTTTTACAGCTTAAAGAAAGTAAATGCACCAAATCAGAAATACAGTTGCCTGTATAAGAA